TAATTTTACAGAGGTTGAAGAATTAGTTCTCTCCATGGAGGATGTCCTTAAACAAGCCAAAATCAGTCTTCTCTAAGCATGGCAGGAGTGCCCCCCTGTTCCAGTGCAGTTTCCATGTGAGGGCCAAGTTTAGCCCTGAGAGTGACTTCCCATTTTTTCTATCTCTTCATTCTCAGTTCTTCAGTTTGTGAAGGGCCAGAGAGGCACAACTTGCCCTGCACCTGGAAGGCCTCATCCTAGGCAGAGCCTTTCTCTTCAGAGCCAGTGCTGGGGGTGGGAAAACACACAGGACATGCCGCTCAGCCAGCCTGGCAAAGCTGCTCTGCTCTTGCATGGCATGACAAGTGAGCCACATTCCTCCCTGCCTGGTGCTGGCAGCCTGCAGAGAAGTTTGCCGTTCTCCTCTTGGTCATTTTTCCAAACAAGCTGTATTCTTTAGCCTACCCTTTTAGGGGAAGAGTTCCATTGCCTTGAATATTTCAGTTGCTCTTTTCTGCTCCTGTTCTTATGTGCTTATTGATTATATGTGGCGATTGAGACCACAGTCCAAAAATGCAAGGGGAAGGGTGTTCTAGTTGTCTGGCAGGTCATATAGTTGACCCCATTAAAAGTAGACCACTATTGCATGAAATAACAAGCTGCCTCATAAACAGCTATAAATAATGGCAGTATCATTTTGTGGAAACTGGATCACTGCAGATTGTTGCAGCTTAAAGTGATGCAAGCTGAAAGTATGTGCCAGATCAGTAACTTGTCATGTATGGCCAAATGGGGTCAAGCTCAGTAATACTGACTTCCTTGACTCTGTGCAGTAATACCCAGTCAGTTGGTGGCATCATGTCAAATGCCAAGCAGTCTTGCATGCAGCAGATCTTGAATGGGTGTGTGGCTGCAAAAAAACGGCAGCACAGTTCTATGCAATGTTATTCAGCAAGTCTCACTGTCGAATTGGGCTTTATTCTGTTCCAGCCTCAGTACTACTACAGACCTTATATTTCCCTTCAGTTTTGACTTTTTGTCCTATTCATATAATTAACAAAATTGAACAATACACAAACAACAAGAGAGAATTACAGAAATATAACGGGAAGAAGTTATCAAATATTTTTGCATCTCAAGGCATCTTTTAGAGCTGCATAGGCAAAACTAAAATGACTTTCATTTACTGATGTCTTGGGGGTGAGGGGGAAGAAACTACTGCTCTTGAGAGCAGCTGACACTGGAGTCATCACTATTGCGGGTGGAAGGCAGAATTTGTCATCTGTCCATTATGCCTGGTATACCAGGTTCTAGGGGGAACGTTAGTGTAGACTGTGGCTATAGATCATGTGGGATCTGTGGGATCTCCTATAACATCGATGTGCACAAAAGCTTTTCTTTACTTGGCTCCATTTCATTCCTCTAAGAAAATGTAAAGACCTGCACTCAGGGACTCTGTTTTGGTGATGGTAAAACCCATGGTACCTTTTTTTCCATGTTGGGCAGCCCAGTCTCTACTAACAGAAATCTTATCAGGTGAGAGAACGCTTCTAAATGCAGGGTGCAAAGATGTGTTGTGTGTGTACACAACCCTGCAGCCCCTGAAATATACCCTTCTTTCCTCCATGACCATGGTCATGATATACATTTTGCTGTTTTTCTACATTTCTAAGCCACCTATGTCAGAATTTAAGGTTTAATTCACCTTGGTTCCACTAGAGAAATTGAATAGACGCTTGAGAGAAGAATGTGTAGTTACTTAATACTCAAAAAGTGTTCGATATTTCAACATATAGTATCGCAGCAGGACTTAGTCAAATTATCACAAAATAGGAGTGTGAGTCTTCTGTTGAAGAAGCTTATGCACGATTGAAATTTTGGGGAATACAGTACAAAGCTACACATAACTGCATGATCCAGAACTAAGCTATTAATCTTGTTTTTCCTCTTTAGAACAGGACTTTGAGAATTTGTGCCATGTTTCCAAGAGATGTTAAATTGATTTTTAATATTTCCATACCTGGACATTTAGTGAGCTGTGATGATTTTTGTTAACTGCACAGAATTTCTGTGATAGCTGCCTTGAGCATGACTCTGCAGAGGCAACATACAAACACCCTAAATAAATAAAGATTAGAAGGTATATTCAATTTTTGGAATAGCATTTAACAGTCATCAGTTCATTAACAAACACATACTCAACCAAAATAGTCATTTGTGAACATTTCTTAGGTTGCTTGCCATTGTTCTGCTTCCTTTATGGCTAAGGTATCCTCATGTAATGACTTCTTTAACATGATGGTTCATTCTTTCTGAGAGTAAATCTTGTAACAAACTGTGTCTGTGTGTGTTTGAAGGGTTGTTTAGGAGCAGGACTTGACTAAAATGTGGGAAGCATAGGTTCAGATCCTTGCTCTGTTTTTATGTTTATCTCAGCTAGTGATTTCTCCAAGCCAGAAGTTTGTTGCTTGTAAGAATGTATGTTAAGAATACTTTGCATCTCACAGGCTGGTTGTGAAACTAAAAGTTCATTGCATTTTTTTAAAGTGGTGGAATCCAAATTAAATATAGTAGCTTGGATCCTTAAGTTTTGTTTCTTTTTGTGTTTCTTTTTGTCTGTTGTGAATGTACTCCAATGCAGACTGCAATCCTCTAATGCTAAAGAAAACAGTGCTGCACAAGCAGAAATATGGCAAATATGGCTGGTTATCATTTGGTAGAACTTTGTGTCAACAGGTTGACTGTATTGTGTGTGTTTTAATTGAAAACTATGAACTTACGGATAGTGTTACTTTTGTTTGGTCTGCAGTGTACCTTCTCAGCTGAATTATGTGTGTATAAGAATTATGTACTAATTTCAGCATGCTAAACAGATCTATGCTCTTTCAAGTCCATTGAAGTTAATGAGTTTGGAAGGTGTAACTCTTTAGAACTGTACTGTTGGTACATTCACAGTTGTGATGATTCTGCAAAAACAGCACTTTAAATAATATGCATAAGCCATTATTTTCTTATTTCTGACTGAATTTCTTACTGGTGGTACCACTAATTAGAAAATAAGCTATTTGCTGTATGTGCTTAGCTTCTTTGACATTCTAACATGTAGGAATCTAGACAATTCAGGACTTGATAAATATTTCATACTCTTAGGTAACAGCCCTGAATAAATTCAACAGGAAATAGATTTCAGATTACCAGGATGCTGAAGTAAGAGTATCAGTTATGCCAGAATTCTTGTGGCAGAACTAAAACTTGCTCTTATGATAATGCATAAAGCAGCTTTAGTGGTTTTAAGGGTATTGTTCATTCAGAATTCTGCAGCATTTGCATTTTGAGTTTGAGAATAGAATTCATAAGTAGATTGTACCAAAAACATACCTTTTCTTTTTGAAAATATGACATATATGCTGTATAACACCCTCCACCGGTTACATCATTATGAGGGTTTATATATTTCTGATGCCGTGGTTAAAGTTGTGTCAAACAAACATAAAAAATAGTTTGTTCATTTCTCTTTTTTTAAAACATCATGGTTATGGTGGTAGTAATATTGCTGTTAAAATGTTCTGGTAGCAGATTAGACCACAGTTGAGGGCCATATGCATCTGTTTGTGACTTAAGATGGCTGGTGGGTTGCTTGGGGGGGGGAGATTTGTTTTTTATGCATTTTATGCATTATTTTTAATGCAATAAGATCATGCTATAGAATGATGAGCTGGATTTGAGTCCAGTAGCACCTTAAGAGACCAACAAAAGTTTCAGGGGGTGTAAGGACTTTTGAGAGTCGAGGCTCCCTTTGTCATGCACTTTGTCTTGAAAGGTTATACCATGAAACCCTTGCTGATCTCTAAGGTGCTACTGGACTCAGATCTAACTGTTCTATTGTAACCAACACAGCCACCCTCTGAAATTGTAGAGTGGGTCATTCTTTGGTCCTAATCTATAGACTGATCATAGCAGAAGAAGATGGAGGTCAAATCTTTCCCATGTTGCAATGAATAAGGACATAGTGCTGTTACAGAGTTCAGTGGGGTAGCAGTCGGTTCGTGCATTGAACGGTATAGGAGTTTCTTGTGGTTAATTTAAAAATCAAGATTAAATTGAGATGTGTCAACTGGAAGTTGGCTGAATATCTGTGCTGAGGGATGATGTTGTGTAACAAGTTATTACTAATGACAAATCACAAGCACGTGTCAAAAGTTTTCTAAAAGTTTGATCTGTGAGTATATTGAAGATTGAGAGAAAGCTATTATATGAAAAGAAGTGCTGCAATTTGATGGTGATTGATATGAAAGCTCTTATTATTTTTACTTTTCCAAGTTGCCACACAATAGCTCTGAGACATTTAGTCATCGTTTACCTCTGTTGTTGCTAATCATCTTCACAAAAAAGTGTTGTGTACAACATATAGTGTATAAAATACAAAGAAATAGCTAGCATGGATATCAATGTGTATCCAAGGAATAAAAAAAGATGCCTATAAGTACCTTGAGAGCAGCTTGAGGATTATAAGTGAAAGGAAAACATTTTTTTGTTGAGGCTCTGTCATAGCAGCTTGTATGTCGCCCTTTCACCAAGCCCCATCCATGCCAATCATTTAACACTAGCATGAAGCAAAACCTATTGCTGAAAGCATCCAAGGTGTGGCTTTAGCATTGCATGAGGTAGCACAGCCATGCTATCACAGAAATTTGACATAATTTCTACCAATTAGTAGTTTCTGCCTTTGCATCCAAGTTATTTGCCTTTACTTCTAAGAACTCTGGGAGAGTGGGGTCAGTTTCTTGCATGGCATGAATTGAGACCCTTCCAATTCTCTGTGTGGAGAACTGGGGGGAGGTGAGTTCAAGATGGAGTGTTTCTCATTTAGTGTGGTAATGGTGTGTTCTATAATAATGCATGGATTGTAAAACAATAATGATCACATTCAATAATGATCACATCCTCTTAAAGACGGGTAAAAAGATGGGCATAAGGACTGGGGATAAGCAGTTAACTCTGTCTATGTCTCTTTCTTTAAGGTTTGGACCCCATGGAATCCCTGTGACCATCTTTCCTAAAAGGGAGTATAAGGATAAACCTGAGGCAATGCAGCTCCAAAGTAAATCATTCCAAGATGAGACACAGGTGAAGTGTGAAGCAAATGGTGTAGTCACGGACTCTTCTCCCATCCAGCCATCAGAACCTAACCTGGCTAAAAACCTATGGACTTCCAAACCACCTCCCCTTTTCCACGAGGGAGCACCCTATCCTCCTCCTTTGTTTATCAGGGACACATATAACCAGTCAATACCTCAGCCTCCGCCTCGGAAAATTAAACGGCCCAAGCGGAAACTGTACAGGGAGGAACCCACTTCAATTATGAATGCTATCAAACTACGACCTAGACAGGTCTTGTGTGACAAGTGTAAGAACAGTATTGTTGCAGAAAAAAAAGAAATTAAAAAGAGCAGCAATGCAAGTGACTCCTCAAAATATGAGGATAGTAGAAAACGAAGAAACGAGAGTGTAACTACTGTGAATAAAAAATTTAAAACTGATCATAAAGTTGATGGTAAAAGCCAAAATGAAAGTCAGAAAAGGAATTCTGTGGTCAAAGTTGCAAATATTGCCCACAGCAGAAGCAAAGTAGTCAAAGTTTCCACTCAAGCAAATACATCAAAAACACAATTAAATACTAAGAAAGTTCTCCAGAGCAAAAACATGGATCATGCAAAAGCTCGGGAAGTTTTGAAAATAGCCAAAGAGAAGGCACAAAAGAAACAGAGTGCAACCCCCACTTCCAAAAATGCACATTCAAAGGTCCATTTCACAAGGCGTCTTCAGAACACCAGCTCAGGTTCCCTGCCCCCGCGATTGCGCCTAAAGCCACAAAGGTACCGAAATGAAGAAAACGACTCTTCTCTCAAGACAGGGCTTGAGAAATTGCGGAGTGGCAAGCCCCAGTCTCGCTGCTCCTCTACCCGCTCAGCAGGTGAGGCCCCTTCAGAAACTCAGAGCCCCTCAGAAGGCCCTGAAGAGGCTAACATTGAGGTTCAGGACACAAATGAAGTGCATGTACCTGTTGATCAGGATGAACAGCAGACATTGGGCAAGAGAGGCAGCAAAAGCAATATAACAGTTTACATGACCCTTAATAAAAAGAAATCTGACTCTTCCAGTGCATCAGTGTGTAGTAGTGATAGCACAGATGACTTGAAGTCCACCAACTCTGAGTGTAGTTCTACTGAAAGCTTTGATTTTCCGCCAGGCAGCATGCATGCACCTTCCTCCTCCTCCTCGTCCTCTTCAAAGGAAGAGAAAAAGCTCAGTAATTCCTTGAAAATGAAAGTCTTTTCAAAAAATGTCTCTAAATGTGTCACACCAGATGGCAGGACCATATGTGTAGGAGACATTGTTTGGGCCAAAATATATGGCTTCCCTTGGTGGCCAGCCCGTATTCTTACCATTACTGTGAGCCGGAAAGATAATGGCCTTTTAGTCCGACAGGAAGCACGTATTTCATGGTTTGGGTCCCCAACAACATCTTTCCTTGCTCTTTCACAGCTCTCCCCTTTTTTAGAAAACTTTCAGTCGCGCTTTAATAAGAAGAGAAAAGGTCTTTACCGCAAGGCCATTACAGAAGCAGCCAAAGCTGCTAAGCAGCTAACTCCTGAAGTCCGGGCCCTGCTGACACAGTTTGAAACATGAACATGAAAAGTAAGGTAGGCAAGAAATGTGGAGGCTCCAATGAAATGTATAGACTAGCTTAATACCATGAAGGACTTGGCCAATTAAACAAAGATTGCACTCAGTTGGCTGCTTTTTTGTACTGAAATTTCCATTTGTAGCAATGTCTTCACTGAAAGTTATACTTAACAAATTGTACATGCAATCAAATTAACATAAAGTGAGATCTCAGTATTTTTCAAGAGGACTCTTAAAAAAAATTTTTTTTGTGAAAGTTTAAAATTCCTCTGACCACCCATGCACAGGAGCCATAACCTCAGCCGAAGAGCAGTTAATTTGCAGGGAATTTTTACTAGTTTCTACCCACTATATATACCATGTCAGTGTGTGGAAGGGGGGTGGGAGGTAAATAAAAGAAATGGAAGTTACAGGAATTACCCGAATTCTCCACCTTAAACGCAGAACCCTTGGCCCTGTCTAAGCCTTTGAACTTTTTATTTAAATATTTTTACTTAAAATTTATTCTAATTGGCTAAGTCTGCCAGTGTGGGTGGGCCCAAAAGCATTCACGGCTATACCCAAAACACTTTATTTTATACAGTCAATTTTTAATCCTTTTAGAAATCAATTTCAGCTGAAATTGATTACCCATTAGTAGATGAGTCTTGGTGGTCATTTCTTTCCAGACACTCTGTCTATGCTATGCACCCAGGGATACCAGTATGAACTTCAGGGTTTGGCAAGTTAAGAGGAAACCTGTTGCTCCTAGGCAGGTCTGAAAAGTCCCTCAGTGTTTGGGATCAAGGGCTGTTAATGCTGCATAGGTGTGAATCATAACTTCCTAGAGTGGGGTGGGGGTTTCCTAGGACAATTGTCCTGAAGGGTTAGCTTGAGAGTTTTTGTGTTGTGTAAATAATTGGTCAGATTTTTTCCCTGACTTCCTGTTCTTAAATTCTTAGGCTACGTCCTAGTAAATTACACTTTGTGAACTGTCAGATGTGTAATTGTTGCATTTGGATGTACCGAATTGCATTTTTAAAAAATATTTCCATTTAAGGTATCTGTTTGCAGGTCAGAAAATATGGAAATTGTAATTGTGTAATGCTCTGAAATGTACAAAAATTGTAAATAAAATTGACTAAATCTAATTATTTGTGTGTGTTTCTCAAAAAGCTTTGAAAAAAATCAGGAAACAAAGCTGATTCTGTTCAAACAATATTTAGGAGACACTTAAAAATGGAGTTAATTCTTGTTCAACACCATCTAAATTAGGTTTCCTTTCTGCATATAAAATCATTGATGTGTATAAGTATGGTTTTAATTTTTATATAAATTGTTTTCTGTGAGTAAACACTTTTCAGCTGTTCTACAACAATAGTGTCTTTCCAGGGATAAGTTTTTCCACCATTCCATGTTACTAGATAGTAAGTGTCCACACATATATGAGTGCTTCTGCATCTCTCTTGCTCAGTGTTGAGCATTTTTATGCAGTTCATTTACTTAAACACTGCACTGTCTAATGGGCTCAGTTTGGTACTTTTTCTTTTTTCTTTCTTACACCCTTGCTTAAAAAGTGCCTAATTTCATCCTTAAGAAATTCAGAGTTATTTTACATGAGTAGGTTCTTAGAAATGGGAAAGAATTAAAACTAAATTCAGATTGTATAACCCAAATACACAATATAAAGAATTAATGATCCCAAAGGCTCTGTTGTGACAGTATGATGCTAAGGTATGTGTTTTTACTTAATATTCAAGCTTGAATCATAATTTCATTTTAAGACGTTAACCTGGTTACTCTCATGCCGTGTACATAGTTTTGAAATCTATTGTAGCAAAAAAATCATTATGATCTTAAGTGATAAATTTCCTAATCTACAGAGAAATTAACTTCCAAAGTAATCCAGTCAATGCTTTTTGAACTTAGAAAACACACAAAATTAATGCCTCAGTAGTATGCAATTTGTTTCACTCCTGTATAGTGTATTCTCTTTCCTGCAAACAGAAATAAATGTAGTGTGTGGTTCTATTTTAATTTTTTAAGGCAGGCTGTGCTTGATTTTTTTTAAATGCACAATGTAGTTGACAGCTTTTAATGGCTGATGCAGGCTTGAAAATGCAGCTAGACTCAAGGCCACATGTTACAAGATCAGAAGGTTTAGACAGGTTACCTGCTGCTTTTGTAAGACATGAGCCAGCCCTCCCTCAACAACAGCACATAATCAAAGATTATGTCAATACTCAGTTGTGCAAGTCCTCCTGATAATATGCCACCTTCCACATTAGAAGTACTATCAAGGGTCTAATCAGTTTCCAAAGGCTAAATGGGACCTTGCCTTCAAAGTTATGCTGTGCACAGTGTCTTAACTCTGCACTGTTTACCGTTCAGCCTATAGGTTGCAGTCTGACAGGTTGTGCCTGACATAATAGTCCTGAGCAGGAAGTGCTGTCATCATAAAATTTTATTTTCACTTTTCCCAACACACCTTGCTTTTTATGTACGGTCGGTGCTGTTTTCAAAACATGTGGGCTTTCAAAATTTTATTAGTTTGAATTGCGGGGTTCTTTAGTGATGTATTGATGTCATCCATGATGACTTAATGTCATATTATTAACTTGCATGGTTTGACTTTTCCCTCAAACATTAGGTAATGTCAGTTTATTTTCTGCAAGATATTGGATTAGCTGTATAGACCCATACTATTTATTTTTTTGCCAGCAAAAGCAGTTGTTTAAAAACAAATAGGAGCTTGGCTTCAAAGATCCAGACTGTGGCAGAGCAGGGGGACTGGTTTTCTGTTTGTCTGCAGCCCATTTGCAGAGGGATGCCAAGGTGGGATGCGTCCTGACTCCCCTGCAAGCAGAATCTTTGCAGCCAAACCACTGACTTATTTTGGATAAAGTATTTTGAGAGGTTTGTTGAGAGGTTCTGGCCATATTTTGAAAATAACACCTTGTCATTTGGGTGCAACATTTTGTATATTTGCCTTAGGTTGCAGGCAATCTGGTTTATTTATCTGCTTCCACCGTTTTGTTTTTGCAGTGTAGGCATCAGTGAACATAGCTTATAAACATGTGGCTTCAAACTAGATGACTTTTAAAAATCAGCTCTTCTATTTTAGCATTTACTGTTTTGTACTGTTGAGCTATGGGGATATAGGGTGTTCTGAAATAGAATGAAATTACTGATAGAACAGATGGCTTGTTGCCGTCTACTTCTGTATTTTGTAATTACAAGAATCGTCCTGGGCAAGTTATGTGCAGACATCTCAGTGGAACTCAAATGCACAGACCTGTGTTACTTGAAGAGTTATAGCTGTGACTTTACAAGATGCACAAATCTTGGCATTGTTCAGATCTAGCTTAATTAATGGCAGATGCATAAGGTGTAGCTTAGTGGCATTAACTGCATGACTAGTGCCAGTGCAGTTGGTCTATCCTGCAGTTTAGAAGTCTGGCAGAAGCTTTTGCAAAACAGTCACAAAGAGCATGCTCCTGACCAACCCCCAAACTCTTCATTATAACTTGAAGAGCAGCTTCAGAAAAGCAACTATGGAGGTCAAAAATAAGATGTGCCTGTGGAATGTATGTGTTCTATTCGTCTGTACTGCAGTCATGGTAACTTATCCATACAAGTATTGGCTGTGCAATAAGAACTGACCAGCAAGTTAAAATAACATTTTAAAATAGCTGATAGCCTGTCTTATAGATAGTTCCCCCAACAGTTTGATAATGAGCAAAAGGCTTGCTTGGGAAAAGTCAGATGCAGGGCTATTTTTGGGCAGGAACGCACAGGACTGGAGTTCCGGCTGGCTCCCAATTTGGCCACGCCCAGCAGGAACTCATTAGCATAATAGGCCACACCCCACAGCAGCAACTCATTAGGATTGGCTACATTAAGGGTGTGTGGCCTAACATGCAAAGAAGTTCCTGCTATAAAAAAAGGCCCTGGGTTTTGACAACAAACAAGGTAAACAGAATAACAAGCAAAAGGTGGGTGTGGCTGGATGAGCACACTTCTGGTAACATGGGGGTGTGGCCTAATGAGCTGTGCTGTTGGGTGTGGCCCAATATGGGTGTGGCCTATTATGCTAATGAGTTCCTGCTGGGCTTTTCCTACAAAAAGAGCCCTGGAGATGTGTGTGGTATAGAGTGACTAGGTGGCATGAAGCATAACTGGATTAGCCTCTGAAGGAAAGGAGGCATTTCTACTTCCTTTTCAGTGTCTTGTTCTTTTGGAAGTCACATCCCACAAATGTAGTAGTAAATGGTCTGTGTGTAAGTAAGCTGGTCAGTTGATGGATTCCTGAGCAGCTGATAATAAGCAAGGAAGGCAGTTCAGTGAGAAATGGCATAAGTAATGAGGTTGCTGCATCTAGAAAGGACAGAAGCTGAGCTGAATGCATACATCTTGTTCCATATTAAACTGACTGGGTAATGTGTGTGTGTGTGTGTGTGTGTGTGTGTGTGTGTGTGTGTGTGGGCAATGCTGGATTTGAAATAAAATTGGGACCCACACTGAATTTGTCTTCATAAAGGAAGAGTAACAGTTGCTGGAGTTATTAGTCAAGCTGGCTGCTGAATTAATATAGCTATTTAAAAATGTCTAAGAAGAAATATTTTGGAAAGGAGATATAGTGCAAGTCTGGATTTTTGGTAGGGAAATTATAAAAGCCTCAGTGGGTGAGGTGAATGACTCATTTGACAAGTGCCTGTTATTGGAGGGGTATTCCAGGGCCTTCCAATTTCCTTCAATCACACTTGCGTGTAAATTGTTAGTTCCCAATATTCTGTCCCATTCCAGCATGATGATAATCACATTGACATTATTGCTGAGGTTGAATTTGGGGGTTAATCTCTCTGTTCCAGTCTACTCTAATGTCCAGATCAGCATACAGAGCCTTGCTAACAAAGCCCTGGGGTCTCAGCAGAGTGGATAAAGGAAGGATGTACCAAGCTCATCAGATCCAAAGTTGCACTGTATTTTAATTGCAGGTAATGCCATGCTATTAAAGATTATTATTTTTATTGTTAAT